TTTTCCCCTTGTATGACCCCCCTTAATATGTTCCCTAGACCCGTATTCCTCTCCTGCATAACATAGTTAGGAACTTTTTATATTATAGTGCTGCGATAACTTACATTTTTTCCCAGGACCACATGGTCAATTATTATATTATGTATTCAGTCTGCGGGTTATTACATTTCTTATGTAGTTATGTCTCATGACAAAAGTCAATTTTATTATTATATTATATTATATTGTAAATCTGCGGATTACTATATTCTTTCTGTCTCATGACAAAAGTTAACTTTATTATTATATTCTGTTCCTTCAGAACACATGTTTATCTTGGTGGTTAAAACAAATTATTATTAACAACATTAATATATCATGTGTCCAAGATTTGTATCTGGCACAAATAAATCATTATCATATTATTAAATTATTTAAAAAAAAATTAAATTATTATTCTATTTCTCGATAAAGATGACAATGTTCACTATACAACAATAATTAAAAATTTTGTTTTTCCATATACCTTACCATTAGTAAATATTTAATATTATGTCCCCTTAACGCCCAGGTTTATATTATTATAATGCTCTCCCTAACTTCAATTAAAATATTACTATGATTAGTCTGTATACCAGGTTAATAAACAATATATTCCCTTTTATCTAACATAAATATGTTCTCCCAACTATTCCCCTTATTATTTTTAAATTGTTATATCCTCAATGATGACTGAGTTGCTGTATAAGAAGTTGGTTAGCCCGGTAGCTTTGTCCCGACTAGGGCCCCATTACATTGTTATATTACAAATTATTAATTAAACTTATTTTTGTGATCTTGTTTCAAGACTGTTAAACTAATTTAACTTTACTATTATTATCTGTCTTAGGACATTTAGTTAACCTTTATATTCAAATATTATATTTCCTTTAGTATAACCCGTTATAGTTAAATATTAGTTTGTTAAATTACAGTTATTGTCCACTAAATTATCCCTCTTGTAGGATAACAATTTATATTATTTTCTTAGTATATCATTATTACATTAATATTTCTTGTGTGCGCAGTGCATATAATTTAACCTATAATTTGTTCATTAACTACGTTTCAGTTATTCTATTTAAATTAATCACTACATTATTAGTACTATTATATTCTTAGTTTATTTATGATTTGGTGCTACGCATAAAGAGGTTTATTGTATAGTATTATCTTAATACCTACTTCATTGCTTAGCAACAATTTTTTCATTTTATAATAACTGTCACTATTTAGTATTTTCCCAGGTTTCCCCCTACTATTGTTACACTATTCAAGTTAATATTATTTAAAAAAAATTATTATTATCTTATTAAGTAGTCACATTTGCCTTGGTTTCTTGATATTTTCGTTATTATTATATTATTTTATTAATACAATCTCCTAAAAAGTTCTGTTGATTATTAAACAACTTTAAAAAATTATCATTATAAAACATTTTAAAACATTTCACTATTCTATTATTTTAATTATTATCAATATTTTTTTTGTGCTCTGCCCACTAAGTTAGTCGGTTCTTAAACCAACGTCCCCAGTATTGAAATACTCTGGTACTTATTCGTGACTGATCCATGCATAGTGCTGGTCAACGCCGGACCAAACAGCCTGATAGGTTTAACCCTGCAAATTATTACCCCTCCCCCATACTTCCTGCCACTGATTTTGATATCACCATGTCAGGTACTGAAGATGCCAATCAATCCCTAGTAGGAAACCCCCCTCTCTTTAGAGTCGCTAGCCCAATTAGTATCTAACATGTCTGATACATTCAACACTCAGCTAGATAATGTCTCCCGGAAGTTTGGTGAACTCGACGCGCGCCTGGATGAACTATGTATTCGAATCGATGACAATGACGCCGAAGTCAACGTTAAGTTCTCAAAGCTTCAATCCTCCGTTAATCAAGACCTCATTGCCTTACAAAACGAAAATTCCCAACAACAACAGCGGACCCAAGAATCCTAAAAATGTGCAACCAATTCCCAACGCGCGCTTAGTGACACCGTCAGAGCCCTCGGAGATAGGATCAGCCTTGTCGAAGGTCAAAGTGCCAGGCTAGCTGCTCTGGAAAATAAATTCCAAAATTCTGTCCCTCTAGTTTCTCCCCCAATAGTCCCCACCTGTTCTCAATCAATGCCCCAAGTTTCCTTTAATAGTATCTTAACTTCCACTACTGTCGCTCATCCTATTCCAACACGATCCGCTATCCCCTCAAATACTTCCAGTTTTTCCGCCCCTAATTATAACATATCATTTCCTAGTCAAACCACGTCCACAATAAATAGTACCACCCTTTCCAACAGCACTGGCATTAGCCTAGACTCTGCAAAGCTCCCCCCCCCTATGATGGCCAGCTCATTCCAGTTCACCCTGAGGAGTTCATTGAACAGGCCGAACAATATTTTCTYACCCAGCCCCCAGTYCCCGATAATGTCAAAATTAATTATATAAAGTCTAAATTCATCGAAGGTGCCCGTCTCTGGTACACCACTCTACTGCCCCCCCCCCCAACAAGTTATCAAGATTTCTTAGTGTTGTTCCGTAATCAGTTTTGGTCACCCAATCAACAGCGCGCWATCCGMAACGAACTCTATCGCCCCTACTTCCACAGAGACTCAACATCTCTGCAGAAGCACGCTATGGATTGGATCAGCAAGGCCCGGTTCTGGCAACCACCTATCGAACAGGCCGAAATGGTTGACCAGATCATTTCCCACTTCACCTTTAACATTTCCATTGTCCTCAGAGGTCTCCGCATCACCACCACCAATGAACTCGTTAAACAACTCTCCCACATTCAGCAAGCTCACTCCCCTCCAAACGCCCAAAATAATCAAAATACCCCCTCTTATCAAAATCAAAATCGAAATTCATTTAACAATTCTTCTGGCCCCAATCAACAAAATAGATATCCCCCTCGTCAAAATAACTACCAACGCCCTCAATATAATTCTCATAATCAATTCGCCCCAACTCCCCCTACCACTACCCCTCCGGAAAACTAGGTCCGACCATGCCCGCGAGGATGTGCACTGTGTCCCCCTCTAAGATCAATCCTCATAATATGTCAATACTCACCCACCCATTAGCTTCTCCCCCCGATTTCGAACAAACACCCCCTCCCAATTACCGTCCCGAAATTCCCATCATCCTCTTCAATAAATCTCACAATGCTCTCTTAGATTCTGGCGCAACTGTCTCTGCTATCTCTGAAGACCTTTTTAAAATATTAAATCAAAATTCTGACCCAAACACAATTCCCCTCTTTCCCCTCACAGGTATTCTCTTGACCACAGCACTCAGTCACAAAACTATTAAAATAAAATCCCAAATCTATTTAAATTTTCATGTTCAAAATTATAAAACACACGGTATATTTTTTATTGTTCCCCAATTGTCCACACCCTTAATTCTAGGTACCGACTGGTTACTTGAAAACGGGGTGACCATAGACTACAATAGCAAGAAAATCTCCCTCCCCTCTGTCAAAGATAACATTCCCTTCAAATTAATTCAAGATAATGATCCAAATAGCTTGGTTAATTCGTTAAAAAATATTATTGTGACTAATGATCCTTTCACCATGTACGAAAGTACCTCCCACTTAATAAATCAAACCTACCCATTCGAAACAGAAAAAAATATTGCCCTTAATGACATTCCCCTTAATGATTCTCAACAYCAATTAATGACCTCCCTCCTTCAAACATATGATCATATTTTTAAAGACAAACCCGGCCTTCACACTTTCTTCTCTTATAAATTCAATATCAAACCTCATGACCCCTATAAAATTAAACCCTACCCTGTACCCTTCTCTCGTCGTCCCGCCGTACAAAAAGAAATTGACAAGATGATTAAGTGGGGGGTGATCGAACGATCGGATTCCCCGTACAATAATCCCCTGGTTACTGTAATAAAAGCTGACGGAACACTACGTTTATGTTTGGACGCTCGCAAATTAAATACTATTATTCTTCCCACTCGAGACGCTTCCCCCCAATCAATGATATCCTAGCAAAATTTAATAATAAATCTTTTTTCCCTTGACTTTTCCTCTGGCTATTGGCAAATCCCACTCGACCCCTCGGTTCGTCAGTACACCAGTTTCCTCTACGACGGAAGGTCCTACCAATTTTGTGTAGTKCCTTTTGGGTTAAATATTTCCAATGCAGCCTTTGGGAAAGGATTAGAAGCCGCCCTCAACAATTATACTATCCCCTGTCCCTCCCCTAATGACATTCATACTTACGTCGACGACATATTATTATCTTCCCCTTCGTTCGAAACTCACCTTGAGACTCTAGAGTGGATTTTTCATAAAATCTCTCAAGCAGGCCTCACCCTAAAATTTAAAAAATGTCACTTC